TTCAAAAGACTCTGGAACAACTAATTTCATTATTCAAAGAATAAAGTGAGGCAGAGGGAGCCAAAATTAACCCTCTGGCCGCTCCCTGGAAGCGGGGATTTCTTTAGCACCCTGTGCTCACAGATGCACGCAGAGAATCTGCCTCGCAGTGTCCCAGCTCTGTTTTTCTCACTAGTTTAGGAGCTGGATATCTTATTCTTCTCAAAATGACTACCTGGACCCAGGCCAGGCTGAGCACCCCCACATGAAGGCCTCTGTGTGTACACTGCATCAGAGAATATTCATCTCCATTTAAGACCCCCAGGGAAAATCAGAAGCAAAAAACATTTTTTTTTTTTTTTAATTATCCATACAGAAAAGAAGTTTGTTCTCTTACTGACCAAATTCAAAAACAATACTTGCAGGCAGGAAGGACAAAAGAAGACAAGTCCTACAAGAAAAAAATCACCTATTTTTAGGCAGATTTGAGCAAAGAAAAATACACTCCTCCAAATCATGTCCCCTCCTTGCCCAAGGATCTCTTGGCCGTGTGGCTGGGGCATGAACTGTCCCTGAAATTCTCCCTGCCCGACCAAATTCCTCTCTCTGGAGCTGAGCTGCTCGCTCAGCATCAATCCTACCTGTGAGTTAAGCTCTAAGGGAAAAGCCCAGGGCACCTAAAGAAAATCCACCCCAGAGCAGCAGGTTGATAAAGGGTCAGTCAAGGACCAGGACCAGGACCGGGATGGGTCCCTTGCATTTGCTGTTTCACTTCCCAGTTCCAGCACACGGTGCAGGGGGTGGAATTAAGATGAGCTCTTTTACCTGGAGAAGCAGCCAGGAACCATCTCCAGCCACATTTGGGGCAGGAACCCCAGTTTTCTCCAGAAACCCAGGTTTTCTCCTCAACCCTGAGCTGCTCAAAAAATCCTTTGGCGAATCCTTTGGCAAGGACCAGGGGATCGGCTGGAGCAGCGATATTTGACGGGATTATTTCTGTTTGTTCCCATCCTGCCGTGCTTGCAGCCTGCATTCCCAAACTGGTCCCCAGGACTGCCTTTTAACTCAAAGGAAAGTGGGATTTGCGCTACACAGGTGCAAACCCCAAATGGCCGGGATGCAGGGCGCTGGTGATCCAGGGTTTGGACCAGGCTCGCTCACAGCCCGTGGTTAATGCAACAACACATCTGTGAGCAGCTGGAGAACAAAAATCCCTTTGTCCCGGCGTGTTCCCGAGGCTCCATCCCTCCCGTGCCGGGGAGCCGCCAGGTGCAGATGGCTCTCTGCAAACGGGAACTCGCTCAGCTTCGAGGTGCTGGGCTGGGATTTTCTGCGCTGGGAGAAGGTGGCGAAGGAGAGTGGCTGATCCCTTCCTCTCCTGCCAGCTCATCCCCTTTCCCTGCGCTCCGGGCAAGGCAAGCAGTGCCGGGACAGAGGCTGACCTATATTCCAGCGCTGACTGCCCACCACGTTTCTGAAAAAAAAAAAAAAATTAAAAAATATTTTTTCCCCCTCCAATCTGGGCTGAAAAAGGATGGTGACAGCCGAAGCGAGCATCACGGCCCGAGAGGAGCTCTGGGTGGCCGCAGCTTTGCTCCGCAGCCCGCGGGTGCGCCAGGGCCCCGCGGGGAGATGCGGGCTGCTGATAGCGAAGGAAGGATGCTCCGGGCCGGGTGAGGCAGGAGATGCCCTGTGCACAGCAGAAAATGTCACACGGAGCCGTGGCTGACCGCAGAGTCCCCGGCTCGGCCGTGGGGTGGCAGGGGCACGGCGGAACGGGCTGGCTTTCCCACAGCCTGGGCTGTCCGCTCGCCCCCCGGGAAGCCTCGGCACTAAAAAGCTTTCCCAGATGCTCGGAGCAGTCGGGGACAGCCACACACACCTGGCTGGGTTTTCCCGTGGTGACGCTCAGGATGAGAACTGGGAAATGAGGAGAATCACGAGGCTTTCCAGGGGTCTCTGCGGGTTTCATCACCACAGCCTCCAAGATGACAGCAACCTGCCCTGCACCCCTTTACTCCACATAAAACCTCTCCGCCGGGGTTGAGCCCTAACTCTCTCCCTGTTTCCATTTATTTGCCTCCAGGGGAGGAATTTTGCTTTTCAAGAGGAGCCTCCCTCCTCCTCCTCCTCGGCGGAGGTGTCACCACCGGCTGATTCCCACCTGGATGTGGGAATTAAGCGCAAATCCCAAGGATGCTGAGAGGAAGGCGCTGCAGTGAGCCGGGCTCGGCGGCAGCAGAAGGCTCCGGGATTTCAGGGCTTCGGCTCTGCCACACAAAGCGGCTTAGGGACGGCACAGCTGAGCCAGAGGCTGGATTAGAGACAAAACCGGCTCTGGCTCCGGGAAAATCTCTGCACAGGGGCTCAAGGTGCTCACTGGGCAGCTCAGAGAGCATCCTGGTCCTTCCCTGGGAGCATCTGGGCTCCTGGTTCCAGCACAGCCTCTGCAAGGCATGTCACAGCCTCCTTCCTTGTGGCATGTCACAGCCTCCTTGTGGCATGTCACAGCCTCCTTTTGGCGTGTCACAGCCTCCTCATGGCATGTCACAGCCTCCTCGTGGCATGTCACAGCCTCCTTGTGGCATGTCACAGCCTCCTTTTGGCGTGTCACAGCCTCCTCATGGCATGTCACAGCCTCCTCATGGCATGTCACAGCCTCCTTTTGGCATGTCACAGCCTCCTTTTGGCATGTCACAGCCTCCTCTGGAGGCGCTGGCCCCTTGGAGTTGGTCACTCCAGATTTGGCAGACGAGCCCAGGCAGGCACAGAGCCCTCGGTGCCAGGCTGGGGCTGGTGACCCTTTGTGTCACCCTTTGGGTGGCACAAGTTCAGGTTGCTGCTCCTTGCATTGACTCGAGGACCCTCCTCTGCCAGGGTCAGCAGCAGAGACCCCTGCTTTGAGCCTGGGGCTGTACCAGCACAACACGGCCCCTCCGTGGGGAGGGAAATGTGGAAATGTGGTCACAGGGGTGCTTTCAGCTGGGCAGAACCTCCCACCTGCAGCTGCCTTTCAAAAGGAATTTTTAAAAAAACAAACAAACAAAAAAGAACCCCAAACAAAAACCCCAAGTCTCCAAACCTAAATTAATCTTTCAGTTTATTTTCATACGCTTGCGCAAAAACACGGCCCAGGTCTCTGGAGACAGAGGAGACTTGTCTGGTTGATTTCCTGGGGTTTTCCCTGGATGGATGTGACTTTTGATTAACTGGCAGATCCATCCATTGCAGCCTTGTTCCCACATTCCCACTGTAAGTGCAGTGGCCAGCCCTGCCAAGGGGCGTTCCCTGGGTGGAAGTTACCACAGCTGGGAACTGCAAACCCATGGCCCCGGCTTTCCTTGTGAGGAGGAAGATGAGAACATCTTGGTCTGGGAGCTGGAAGGCTCCAATTCCACTTCAGGCAATGGCTGGGCACAGCTGAGGGCAGACACAGCCATCCCCCTTGTCTGGGAACAGGGAGAGAGTGGCTGGAGTGGACGGATCTGCCAGTTTATCGAAAATCAGGGATGAAATCCCAGGAAATCAACGAGACAAGTCTCTTCTGTTGCCACCCTTCTGGACACAGTGGCCTCTTTGAAACATCTCCCTGTCACCCGCCTTGTGTGGGAATTCCACATCTCCCTGCTCCCACATTCCCAGGGAGCACAACACATCCAACAACTTTTCCTCTCCACCTTAAAAAAAAAAAAACCCAAGCAATTTTTATCTAAATCATCTTAATCTGGAGGGATGCTGCAGAACAGAGGCGTTTCGGTAGACTGGCACAGTATTTCCAGGAGGAATTTCTTCCAGGAAAGGGAGCTCAGGCCTTGGCAGGGGCTGCCCAGGGATGTTTGGAGTTCCCATCCCTGGAGGTGTCCAGGGAAGGGCTGGACGTGGCACTCAGTGCTCTGGTGACAAGGTGAGGATCAGGCACAGCCCTGGGAGGGCTTTTCCCACCTCCATGAGTCTGGGATATGAGGAAGGAGCAATCTGAGACTGACCAGGATTTGAAAAAGCTCCAAATTGAAAATCTCACGACTCCAAAAACATCTCTGAATCTGTGATTTGCTTATTAAAGGGCACTTTGAGGCATCAGGGTGACCAAAGCTGAGGGATTGCTGAAAGGACAGAGTCAGAGACATCTCCACTGACCTGTCACTCCAGGTATCAGTGGCTGCTGCTGATACAGAGCCCCTGGAAGAGCATCACATCTCCAGAGAAATCCATCTGAGAGGAACAACACAGTGTTGAGTCAAAGACACCTTACATCCAGTTTTCTGCCTTCTTTTAAAATTAACAAGTCTTAAATTCTTAGTGTCACTTAAAATACTCCACTAGAAATGGCCAAAGGCATTTTGTAAATCACAGTGGTCAGGTGCTGTGATCCAGGATGTCAGATTTGGGTGGAATGCAGGGGTAAAGTAAGAAAAACATAGGCTGGACTGTACTCTGTAATGGTTTAAATTCTGTCTGCTAAATTTTGTTATTTTTAGTGCTGTGGTAGAGAGCTACCACACTTGTTACACGTGATTGAAGAGGAAGGGCAAGTTAAAACCCAATTTAGAATAAATGAGTTATTTCTTGCATAATTTCTGAGTAATTTCTGAACCCATACCTGACACCTCCCACTGTCCCAGGCTGCTCCAAGCTCCATCCAGCCTGACCTTGGGCACTTCCAGGGATCCAGGGGCAGCCACAGCTGCTCTGGGCACCCTGTGCCAGGGCCTGCCCACCCTCCCAGGGAACAATTCCTTCCCAGTATCCCATCCATCCCTGCCCTCTGGAAGTGGGAAGCCATTCCCTGTGTCCTGTCACTAGGACAAGGAGTAAATAAGGAGTTTCCCAGGAACAAACTCTGCAGCTTTATGGATTTTTGTGCCACTTCAAGTCAGGGTCCTCTGCTTGACATATTTTTCATTATTCTGTAAAAGTATCAGGAGACCTGGCAAGAGTGCTGGAGCTCCATGCCCCTGCCTAGAGCCAGGGAAAGTCTTACTTCAATCAAAATAACCACTCTCAGCACAGATCCTGGAAAATTCAATTTAATTCCATCCCAATAATTATTCCAGCACACCGATACATCTTCCTTTATTTGTTTTTTGTAAGATGATGTTCAAATTCAATCCATCACAGCAAAATTCATAGCAAATGTAGAGGAAGTTTAGCAGCCTGACTTTGAAATTGCTGTAAATGAGGCTTCACAGCCTGTGCAAGGCTCATGGCAGACTCTATGCAGCCATCGAAGTTGGAACGAGTGAATCCATCACCCCCACAGATCAGGAGAGGCTGAGTGTGAAGTATCATCTGTCCTGGACAATTGGGCACAGCCCTTGTAACCTGGAAATGAAAAACATGAAGGGAGTGGGCAGAGAAAGTCTTTTATTCACCTGAATTTCACACCAGAAAGGTCTGAATTCCTGAGAAGCACATCACAGAACCACAGAGTGGTTTGGGTTGGGAGGGACCTTAAAGCTCATCTTGTTCCACCCCCTGCCATGGTCAGGGACATCTTCCACTAGCCCAGGGTGCTCCAAGCCCTGTCCAGCCTGGCCTCCCAATCCAAAAGGCAGATCCAAACGTTAACCATCAAAATACCATAACACAATACTTATTTCTGAGAGTTCAATAATTAAGAGTAGAACTTTGTTGCGTGTGGAAATTCAGAAACTTTAAGAGAAGCCAGTCTCAGCAGGAGTGACTCGTCTGACCCCGGTGTAGAGATTGAAAAAGGTGTGAGAGTGATCTCACATCAACAAAGTGGGGCTTGCAAAATCCCACATGGGTTCAACACAGGAAAGAGAACCTCCTGTCTCTGGGATCACAGAATCCCAGGATCACTGAGGCTGGAAAATCCCTCCCAGCCCATGGAGTCCAAGCTGTGCCTCATCCCCACCTTGTCCCCAGCCCAGAGCACTGAGTGCCACGTCCAGCCCTTCCCTGGACACCTCCAGGCATGGGGACTCCAAACCTCCCTGGGCAGCCCCTGCCAAGGCCTGAGCTCCCTTGCCATGGAGAAATTCCTCCTGGTGCCCAACCTGCTAAAGCATGATACAGAGAGTACAATTTTCTTTTGATAATTTCTTGGATTCCCACCCAGTAAACCGTTACTGTATCCCCTCTTGGGACTGTCAGCTTCCAAGGAATCTTGCTAAATCCAGGGCATTTTTCCACGGATTCAAATGTACCCTCAGCTGGCCACTGAGGAGCCAGCCATTCTCTGCCACTGCCAAGTGTGGATGAGCTGCAAAGAACCCACATTTATGTTGCTGGCTGCATTTTCTGCTACTGCTGTTAGCATCTCTTCAAAGGACAAAATCAGCAAGCCCTTATCCTTTATTCAGCTTAACAGAGGAGTCCATCCAGGTATGGCAAATTCAGACAGAGATTCCCCCTTGTGACCAGTTTTAAGTCAGTACTTTATTTACTCCTGAATTTTTCTTACAGATCGAGATGAGTACAAACAATGCAGAAAGACTTGGCAGAAAAAGTCTTTTTTGAGCGTCCTTTCTTCTTGGCTACCCAGTGCTTATTTGATGCTGGCTGTACCATGCAGCTCCTACCCCTCCTGGTATTGGGTCAAAGGTTGGACTTGATGATCTTGGAGGTGTTTTCCAGCCTCAGTAAATCCACATGAAGTGACTCTGCCAAAGACACACGGGGGGCTGGGAAGCTGTTGGCTCTGAATGCTAATGGTGCCTTCACCATAATTAGAGCAAGGGGATCCAGAACTGCAGCTGTGCTGCTAAGTAGTGTCAGTAGAATTTTGGAAGTCCTAATCCCTCATCTGCCATGGATAATTGTAATGTCTGCATTTTAATCCCAGGATTGTGTTTGGCCATGTGAAGGATGTTACAGCCGGATTTAATTAACAAGTAGGATAAACCCCATCTAAAAGAGTCAGGGGAAAGATGCACCCATCTTAACAGCTCCCCTGGCCTCTGTGGCAACTGCTTATTATAACTGAAAGTAAAGACAGCTTTAGGAGAAAGAGGGAGTTCTGCCCCAGATATTTCATTTAGGCAGTGATTATTTTATAGGGTGGCATTAGAGATCTCTTTATTGAGATAACGGGTCTGACCTCCTGGGGCTTATTTGCAACCTAAGACATATTGACATTCATCCACCAAATTACAGACTGCTGATAATTCCTCCTGTGGCACCAGCAGCTGCTGGAGTCAGAGCAACAGAAGCAGGAGCTGGATGGGGTTTGGAAGCCCCTTCCAGAGCTGGATCCAACTCTTCTCCTCCCTCCCACCCACAGCTCTCGTGAGCACCAGCAATCCTCAGCAGGTAAGGCAGGAGAAAAGAGCAGATGCCACAACCAGGGAACCTTAACCTGGTTTTCCCAAAACCTCCCCCCTGAACTGATAAAGAGGGACTCAGAGAAGACACCACGATTTTGATATGTTTTATATAAATATTAATACCCGTGCTAAGGTTGCTTTTGCAATCCACCAATACTTTACTCGCAGAAAAATAAACTTTGTGCTAACGAGACCAGGTTCCCAAATTGGATGCAGATCAATGGGTATGAGCAGACTCCACAACAGCCATCCACAGAAACTTCAAAAAAGGAAAAATTTTTAGGGGACTGCTTTAAAAGTAAATATTTTGCGTCGACCTCCACGTTCAAATTCACCAATGTAATTAAACTTGAGAGGCTTTGGGTAAACATGGAGATACACTCCAACACTTCAGGAAATCGCCAACAATTTCCTTGGATTTTTAAAAGAAGACAGCAAAATATGCACATTTTGCTCTTATTACCCTTAGGTAGTTTACTTTCAAATACTTTTTGCATAACATTCTGTTAAATTGAGCTAGGCCAAATCAAATAATCACAATTAGCACGTCTGTACTTCTGCTCTTCTGTGGTAGGGTGGGAATTTTACTAATAATACCACATACTTTTGGATGCAGAGAGATGCATTTAGTCATGATTTTTAAGCACCAGTGAAAATCCCACTGAATTACGTGGGATTTACTTCCTTCCTGTACACTACTCCTACCCTACTTACCAAGAGAGCTGCATAACTCACTGCTGAGCCAGGCCCAAAATGTTAAAAAAATGGCTAAAAACTACCTGTTTTTTGCTGGCCAGCTCTGGATGCTGCTCATGGCTACGTGGAGGAATGTGTTATGGATACTGAGCAACCATCCCCTCTTCTCCTGCTCCCCGAGGATGGAACACACAGCCCCAGCAGGGAGTACCTGGGAGTATCTCCATCTCTGGCACTTGATGCTGCTGGGTTCAGGCAGGGAGGGCACAATCCTCTGCAGGTGGCTGAGGATGATCTGCTGCACCTCTGCAGGGTCTGAGTCCAGGTGCTCGCTTCCAAAGGTCACTGTGGTGTGCACCACGACTGAGGGCCCAATTTCAGGAGACTCTGAAAGGAAAAAAATAAAGAAATGGAGAGGTGCTTCTGAAGGATTGCTCACTCATACCTGCCTTCCCCACATGCTGATAATTGTGCCTCTGGCCTAGGAGTCAGTAAGAACAAAAATATCTGTGGTACCACCCTCTTCTACCAGGTGGGAAAAAAGCACAAGGAATAACAACCCAAGTTGTTCACAACAAGAACACAAGTCAAAGAGGATATCTCTGCAACAACCTGGTTTTGGACACTTCCAGGGGTCCAGAGGCAGCCACAGCTTCTCTGGGCACCCTGTGCCAGGGCCTCACCAGCCTCACTGTAAAAAAATTGGTTTTTTTATCTCATCTAAATCGACCCTCTCCCTCAGTTTAAAACCATCACCCTTTGTCCTGTCACAAATGTTTGTTCTCATCTTTTGACCATGGAATCATAGCTCTAGTGCTGATGTTGATCCCAGCAGATTTGGAAAGGGCCAGGCTTTGTTACATTTGGGGCTGGTTGCAGGTTCTCTGCAGCAGGTGACTCCTGTCCCCACTGGCATGTTGGTTTGTCACTTTACACATGCAGCCTAACAACCAGCAGCCGGAGAATTTGCCTGGATTAGGGGATTTTTGGGCTCAGGGACTTCCCTGTGCCAAGGCAGGATGAGGATCCAACAGATCCTTGTGTGAGTCACTCCTGCCCCGATGAGCAGGATGGAGCAAGGACACGACGTGGGTTATGCTGCATTTCAGCTGAGCTGGTTGTTCAATTGAGTGAATCCCTCTCACCCCCTTACCCAGCAACTCCCTCCTTTGGAAGCAGAAAGCCTCTCCTGGTTAGACCTTTGCCTGAATTCTTAGAAGAAGATTTTAGTTTCAGCAAACGTGTTTTCTGACGGAGGAATCCATGAAGAAAGAGGTGGCTGAGCACTTTCTGACCATTCTGGCTGCTGGGCACCAAGCTTGATAAACTCCTTATCACCGCTCTGCCAGTCAGGAAATCCCCAGCCCCTCGAGCCAGAGACCCCCTCTGGGAAGATGGCACATTCCAGCTTTCCAAAGGCAACCAAAGTGTGTTTCTCTGGTGAGCTTCCTGTCCTGGTCTGATCACTCCAGAGCTGCAGCAGTACCAAATCTGCTTTAAATTCCTGTGGAAGGAACCCCTCTCTGAGTCTCTTTCTAGGGTGGGCCGGCTCAGCCAACCCTTGCACTTGAAAACATGGCAAAAAGGGCAGGAAGATGTTTCCTGGTTTCACAGCTACCACAGGACATATCTCTGTGGGCATCAGAAATGCTGCTCAGACTTTCCTTCCCCTTTTTGGGGCAGAAACCAGGTATTCTGATGTCTCTCCACAGACATGGAGAGGGACAGAAGAGCAAGAAGACCAAACCCCTTCCTGTGTGAGCGGAGCACTCCTGGGACAGGGCCCTGAGCGATGGAAAACTCCATCTTGACCTAGAACCTGGGAATGAGGGGAAAGGTTTCTGGACTGTGAGCAGAAGGCGGGAGCCATCGGCTTCTTCTGAACGTCTTGGGACTGTCTCAACAGTCGTCATCAATTCCCAGCTGGAGGAATCATACAGGCTGTGCAGAAAAAGGGAAGGAGAGACTGCTGACAGTGAGAATTCATACAGGGTTAAGCCTGCTGGGAGTATTAGCTCCCAGAAAAAGGATGGGACTAATAAAAAGTGCCCTGGAGAAGAGCACAGAGAACAGAACCCAGGGCCACGGTGGCTTGCAGCCCAAGGGCATCTGGAGTCAGGAATGTGGCTCTGAGCTTTGAGTAACACATTTAGTGCAGAACTGCGGTGTCCTGGTCCAGCTGCTCTCACTGTCACAGGGGGATGAAAAGGCTCGTGGGTGAATTGCTCCAGGCAGTGACAACAAGAACAGCCCCCGGTGCCAAGTCCTCCCACAGGGATCTCCTCCTGCCCTGGCAAGTTCTCAGATGGTACTAAGGGTGTCAAGCCAGCTCCTGTGGGGCCACGTCCTCCTTACCGTCAGTCTCAGGGATGGAGCGAGACAGAGAAATTACAGTAAAATAAAACATATGAAATTGTGATTACAACAATGAAACAAGACATATGTTCTTGGAGAAAGCCCATGGTGGATCATCTGCCCACCAAAATATTCCTCCTGGCAAAATGCAAAATCTACTTTTCTGTGGTGAATCTATGCCAAGGTCAGGGTTCAGAGTCCCTAAACTGAAAAAGTACTTCAGAGATGAGATGTGATCCCTGGACCTGAAGTTCCCTTAGCAGAGAGAACCCCACCAGAGCATGAAAGCCACAGGATCCATTTGGGAAACGGTCAGCATGGTGTCTATCATGTTCTGGGAGCGTGACAGGTTAGAAAAGGAACGGTGGAAAAGGAGGAATCGGCAGGTTAAATGGATTTCAAGGTGCCAGGATGGGGACAGAGCACAGTGCTCTTGGGACTAAATTAATAGGGCACCCTAAGCAGGACCCACCTGCTCTTCAACTGCCAGAGAGAGGAGACTTGGCAAAGACAGGGAGAAGCAGCTATAGCTCCTACTGTCCCCAAGAAAGCAAAAGGCAACTGTATTTTCCCAAACAACAATATTCTAGGAGAGAAAACCATGTCTGAGGGCTGCTGTGAGGCACATCTGTGGCTCACAGACCATGCAGATCCCATAAACCCACTGACCCTCAGGAGAGGGAGATCTACTTTCATAAAGGTATAAAAGTAAGCAGCCACAGCCTGCAGTTCAATTTGCAAGCTCCACAGATGCATCCACAAAACATCCACAGAGAGGAAGGAAGATTTTTTTACTGTTTCAGCTGCGCTAACATTGAAACTTGCAGGGCAGCAAATGCAGACAGATCTTGAAGAATTTCCTGTCTTTGCCAAGGGGGCTTGCTTAGATTCGCTTCCCAGTTCACTTATCAGTGTGTTCAGTAAATCCTCACCAGAACATTGTCTGTCTCAGAGTCACAGAACTTCAGGAGGAACCTCTGGAGGTCTCTAGTCCAAGATCCTGCTCAAAAGTGGGGCCAGCTTCAAAGCCAGATCGTTTTCTACGATTGTTGGAGTGCTCAGGGATCGTCCAAGAGTTACAGCCTGGTCTCCAGCAGAAAACTGTCTGTGGATGTGATAGGCACACATCTCCCACAGGAATGTTCTCCCCATCTTAGGGGAGCAGCATTGAGTATTTTTCTCGTGTTGCTGCCCAAAACCTGGAGCCATAATTGATCCCGATAAAAAACAAGATGAGGTTGTTTCCTGACCCTCAGGAATTTGTAAGCTTCCTGGGGAGGTGTGTTTCGCCATCTGAACCCCATTCTGGTCCTGGGTAGCAGGAGAGGAGGGGAAAGGGCTTTTGTAACACTAAACAAACCCTGGAGGAGGGAAATGCTGCTGGGTCAGTGTGGAGGGCAGCAGGGAAGCTGGACACCTCCAGACAGGCTGGAACTGCATCCCTGCTCCCTGGGAGGTGCCAAAAGAGATGTGCAGGCCTCATAAGCCCTACCTAAAAGTTTAAAAAAGTGCAGTAATCAACTTTATAACACCTAGAAAGCAAGAGAGATGGAGGTTCACTTTCAAAATGCCACGCTGCTGTTCGGAAGGAGGGCCAGGAGCTTCTCCAGTTATCCTCAGAAATTCCTGTGGCTCCTAAGGTCGCACATTCTCCCTAGAATAAAATCTCCTGCCTGATAAGGCACATTTGGGCATTTGGGAGAAGTCATAGAAAGAATGACATTAACTTTTTTATATTCAGAAACCCAGCATTTCATTAGCCTTACCAAGTTTCTGATTATTTTTCTAAAAGGCAGGCAGGGCTGGCAGAGGGTTACAACACAACAAGGCAAAAACTTAAATAGTTCTTTTAACTCTTTCATCTTCCTAAAAATTCTTTTTTCCAGGAAGGAAAGGAATCTCTGTTTCAAAATTAAAGAGGGCAGTCAGGAATTATACAATGCTAAAAACCTGTAAGGCAGATCTTCCCTTTAAATTACATAACACCGCAATCCTGGAGCAAAAGAAAGGAACCACTTCCCCTTTCATGTGTCATCTATCTTTAGTCCTCCTGGAATGCAGAGAGATGCAAAGACTGCGGTATTCCAGAAATAATTTATGCTGGAGAATTCCCACTGTCCCCCCGACCCGGTATAAATATGGATGGGGTGTTTGAGGCAGCCAATCCCACAAAGTGTTTAATATTCATGCACAGCACACGCGGAATTCAGCACACGCTTCTCGTGGGCTCCTCCTTATGTAACATCACCTCTGCAGGCAGGGACGGGATTCTACCGACAGCAGCTGGGATCCTCAGCTGATGGAAAAAGCCTTCCCTCCTGGAGACTCCTGATGACACCAGGAATTGGTGGCATCAGAGAAATTGCTTTATCAAACCCACGACGACAGGGCCGGTTTGTGTCTCGCCGGTGCAATGTGAAACGCTCGTGGGTTGGATGTCTCTGCTTTACTGCCACATCTCAGACAAGTGACAAGGACAGCCTGGGCTTCCACAGGCAGGGCCAGCCTCTGCCTTTTGGCCTTTTGAAGGCTGTACTACCTGCTTTAGGGGGATGTTATATATGTGAGGCCCTCAGCAGAAAGCTCACAGGATCATAGAATCATAAAATGGATAGAAGATCGTCCAGCTCCAAACCTCCTGCAGGGCACAGCTATCAGCTGTAGTTACTTCCTCTGGATTTCTGTTGTTCCAGGCTGTTTATTAAAAAGCTACTGTTTGAGGTGGCAGTGAGGGTGAGATAAACCTCCATTAGTTGTGGATACATCAGGTGAAGAAACAACTGGAGAAAGCGATGGCTTTTTGGGAACGATGACTGCCCTGGAAGATCTCAGCTGCCTCACCCAGCCATTCTGCTTCCTCTGACTGTTTACTTTTTTGGTTGCCACCATCCCCTTCCTCAGATGAGTCCAAATAATCAAGGTTGAAGAACAGAAGAATGGGAAGGTGGACGAGTGGAGTGAAGCTAAAAGGGACAGCGAGGTGCTTGTGTGCCTCCCACTGAAATGTTCTGGAGGGCAGCTGGAAACACAGGAAGAAAAATGCAGATGCCAAATGCTTGCATATGTGCTAAAACAAGCATAAAGGAACTTTTTATTCATGTGTTTTGGTTGCAGAACTTCACATGTAAATAAATTTCACACTCAGCCTCCCTTGCCTGTGCTGTCTAAAGTCTGTCTCCTAGGAAGAGACGCACACAAAGTTTGTTCTTCTTGGAAAAAAATTGCTCATATGAACAGAACTCTCCCCCAATTCAAGGGAAATTTCAGTGAGAAAGGTACGTGCCAACACTGATGTTCTGGTACTTTCTACGTATTTGTTAACAATATGCCCCAAATAATGTGCCTTGTACATGGTTCAATTGCATCTGGAGACAGCAAAGCTGTCTGATAATTCCATCATAGTTCCATATTTGTTGTTCTTGGTGCTGGTGCAAAGAGGAGGGGAAAGCATGGGTGAATTCCTCCTTGACACTGGTGAGGGTAAGATCAGCAGGCCCTATTGTCTATCAGGTATTTTTCGTTGAACGTGACAATGGCAACAGAATCTCAGATGCAAGAAAATCTCCAGCTGAACACTGTCAGAAACAAGGAGACAATGCCAGAGAAAAAAAGATCACTCTGTATTTGGCTTTCCTTAAGCTCCTTTTTTAACATATTCACTGTTCAGTCCCTGCTGGAGAAAGCACATCAGGGTGGATACATCCTTATTTTGGCCAGTCCAGCCATTCTTCTGTTTTGTTTTCACTCTTTTCAGATGAACAGGCTAAATTCTTAGGGAAAACAAATTTGTGCTTCCACAGGGGAATGGAGAATCTCTCCTACAAGGAAAGGCTGGGCAAGCTGGGAATGTTTTGCTTGGAGAGGAGAAGGTTCTGGAGAGACCTCAGAGCCCCTTCCAGCACCTAAAGGGGCTCCAGGAGAGCTGGAGAGGGACTGGGGACGAGGGATGGAGAGACAGGACAAGGAAGAATGGCATCCCGCTGCCAGAGGTCAGGGATAGATGGGATATTGGGAAGGAATTGTTCCCTGGGAGGATGGGCAGGCCCTGGCACAGGGTGCCCAGAGCAGCTGTGGCTGCCCCTGGATCCCTGAAAGTGTCCAAGGACAGGTTGGACAGGTGGAAGGTGTCCCTGCCCATGGCAAGGGGGTGGAACTTTGGGTCTTTAAGGTCCCTCACAAGCCAAACCATCCTGGATTCTGTGACTCTAACTTGTCTGCAGGTGTTTTTTCTCGAGTTATTCTATGGCACCACACTCCTGGCGGGTGAAGCACATTTAATAAACAAAACACACCCTTCTTCCACTGCCATCCTCCAGAAAGAGAGAAGGGTCTGTCTTGGGGGATATTCTCCAAGCCCTACCGAGCACATGCAGCCATTTCAGGGACTCTCCCTGATCACAAAAGCACCCTGGCTAACTCTGAACTGGGCTGAGCAGCTCCAGTTGTACAACTCATTCCTGCTTCCAAGCCCTGTGGAAAGAGCAGGAGTTGCAGAGTAACTGGTGAGGGGAGACAAACTGGCGAGTGCATGAATCAGTGTTTAAACAAAGGAACCCCAGCTCTTTCTTGGAATAGCAACATTTTGATGTCTCCAATCCCCTGACAGTGGTTTCATAAACGCACTAACGTAAACCATGTGCTGGGGGCTGATTTTCTGAGGGCCGGCCCGCTCTCATTGTGTGCTTTATTACAGGCCAAATGTGACATTAAACGCCATCCGCCGCAGCTTGGAGTTAAATACTCGCCCTGTTCAGAATAGCAACACTCAATTAAACAGCATTTCTCATGCTCTACACCCTCCATTGTGGCTGTGTTTAAGGGAAATAATGGGAGCACTGACCTATATTGCGCTTCTTGTTATCGATGGAGATGAAGCGTATGCAGGGATTATCAGTGATGTACTGAGCAGCCCAGGGGACAGCAATCCCTGTCCCAGCCTCATAAAACAGTCCCAGGGCATAGCGGGATGAGTAGCTCACAGATTCCAGTTGCTGCTTTTGACTTTCATTAATTACTGTGGAAAAAAAAAAAAAAAAAAAAAAAAAAAAAGAAAATCAGACAATCCCTCTCAGAACATTAAATATGGGAATGCTGTGGTTAAGCTGATTATTTCCCTTCCTGAAAATGACCAGACTGCTGAAACTAAGAATTTAATATTAAGCCTAGTGCTTTGTAGTATTTTTTTCTGGGACGCCTCTTCATGAAGTTTTAATGGTGCATTATGTAGAGTGTGTCCTTCACACACGACCCTCCCCCAGCTGCTGCGGGTTCATCTCCCGACTCCCCCTCAGTTGCCTCTGACTCGAAACTTCAATGACTTCGGTGACTTTTTGTTTCAAATCTTTTCTCAAAGGGTGAATAAATAGCAATAAAATGCTTGGGTTGCCTCGAGGACATCGAGTAAATGGTCGTATGGCTCGACAAGCACCAAAATGACTTCACATATCAACAAAATGAACTCAGAGCCTCTTGAACCTCTGGGGAAAAGAGCCCTGTGGCTTCTGCACGGCAATTCAAATGAATGAAGAAAACCCTGCACTCAGCATACAATAGGCTCGTAGTGAAGCTCAGCTCCTTCAGCTGAAGGTGTTTCAAAGCAGTTTAGAAAATTTCAGGGCAAGTAGAAATCCTAATTCCTCCCTGTGATTAACTCTTCTATCTTCCAGTTACAGTGAGATCTGCTTTTTGCAGCAATTTCATAATCTTCATAAAAAGCTGCACAAAGCAGCATTAGCCCCACTGTAAGCATTCAAATATTTAATTTCATGCCACAGAGAATCCCACCAGCTTGGCTAATTGTGGAGTCCAGCTCCACGTCTCTCTTCCTGTGACTGAATGGATGTCCAAGGCTTCTGCCAGCTGGAGCAGCGCACGCAGAGACAAAAGTTCAGCTGATGCTGTAGGAAGGAAGGAACAGCTCACCCCACAATGGGTCAGGCTGACCTGGCCCCACCTCCCTGCCGCAGCAGGGCCATCCCAAACTCATGGCACAGGATTGTGTCCTGCCAGCTCTCCCAGCTGAGGCTCCTGGTGGGTCTCCCCCACCAGCCTGACCCAATGCCCAGCACACCAGAGCATCACAAGTCGGATTCCACCTCAAATCCCACCAGAAACTAACCCTGAAATGTCCCCCCCCCCAAAAAAAAAAACAACAACAAAAACCTGAAAACACTTGGGAAGTACTTATTTTTCCTATTTCCCCCACAAATATGCTGGGGAACAGAGAAATGGGGAGAGCAGGAAGAAACACTGACCAAGCCGCAAAACCTGGGGAGAGGAAAGGAGGAGAAATATGGCATCTGGCAGTAGGCGGTGGTGGAGGTGCCAGGTGGAGGAAGCAGGACTGGCTGAGCACGAAGGGCTCTGAAGAAGCTCCCTCTCCCTCTCCAGTTCTCCCTCCAAGAAGGAGCTGAGGGGTCCAGCTGCCTCTCACCCCTGCTCTCAGATCTTTCCAAGAAGGATCTACTCCAAGGTCACTCTGCTTTCTTCATCCCCTGGGATCCAGGGCTCCTGGGTGCCTGGGGCTCCATGCCAAAGGCCCAGAGCAGCCTGGCACGCCCCAGGCAGGGCTCTGGCTTCCATCCCAGTCTTCTGTGCCGTTCAAAGGCTGACCCAGGCACTGGCAGGACTGCCCCAGCCCCACGAGTCTCCTGCAGGCTGTCACCTCCATCCTCCTACGTCCTTCCCCTCTTCCACAGCTTCCCTCCAGCTACTGCAGCCCTCAGGACAGGGGGATTTCTGGTGTGGCTTGGAGGGGAAGCCAGGGGATTAAGCAGGGCTGTGGGGCAGGATGGAGGGCTGCCCTGGGGGAAAGGATGCCAGCAGGACAGGACCTCGCACATCCCACCCCGCTGGAAATGTTCTCTGGCCTAAGTTCCCGCTAAAGCCGTGAGTTTAAACCCAGTGCCAGCATCCAGGAACCATCCCGGGGCTCCTTTCCAGCGGGAACAGCGGCGTGAGCGATTTCCCCAGGGCTTGTCCCAGTTCCTCCTGGCAGACCAGAGGAGCCCAGACAGGGAACAGAGCTGCTGCTAAACACATTCAACACAGCAGAGGGGACAGATGTCACGCAGAACCCCCCTGGCCCCTCTCAGGAAGGAGCTGTGCCCAGCTGGGCTCCCAGATGCCCATCACCACCAGGCCCCTTCTTACAGCCACCACAGATAATCACAATGCATTGCACATTCTTGCTGCTCTTCCAAAGAATATCAAAGTCCTATAAACAAGCAAACAAACAAGAAGCTGTAACATCCCATCGAAAACACTACCCTTTGCCCAGGCTACTCTGGCTACTCCTTTTCCCTTAGGGAAAGGAAAATAAGACCTCCTCCAGCCTGTGAAACAAATTCCCTGCAACGGAGCTGAGCATCCCTGCTCCCCAGGGTGGGAATTTGCTTCAGGTTTATTACAGGGAGCCCTTGAGCAGGTACAACCTTCACAGCGTTCGGTGCTGCCAAAGCTGAGGTGGCCAGCTGGCTCTCAAGTACCTCATTTGAGAGGTGCCATGTCATTATGGAGCTGTGTCCACCAGCTCTGAAGCTTCAGAAGGTGTTCAGGATCATGGGGATGGGTGCTGGACAGCAGAGAGGGGATGGAGGATAAGCTGAGATTTTGGCAGGTGTAAACACCTACAGATGGAGCCTGGCCGGGGAAGAAGTGCAGGAAGGACACGAGCCCAGCCGAGCAGGCCAGGAGAGGGGAGAAGAGGGAAGGCAGGCAGCTCCAGGGCTGTGACTTCCCAGATCAAAGGGCTGTAAACATCCAGGGCAGCTCATTCACAGTGGCCAGGGAAGAAACAGCATCGGGAAGAAGTGACTTTTTCCCGGGCCTTGAGATGGGATACCAGCCAGGCTGAGGAGAGCCTGCTGCAGTGCCCAGTGCCTGCAGGTGTTTTGGGGGCAGTGAGAGGCTGCTCACCTGGTGAGATGTGAACCCCAGACTCACTGAGGAGCTCGAACAGTCCCAGGATCACTGAGGCTGGAAAATCCCTCCCAGCCCATGGAGTCCAAGCTGTGCCTCATCCCCACCTTGTCCCCAGCCCAGAGCACTGAGTGCCACGTCCAGCCCTTCCCTGGACACCTCCAGGCATGGGGACTCCAAACCTCCCTGGGCAGCCCCTGCCAAGGCCTGAGCACCCCTTTCTGTGAATAAAGATTCCTCCAGACTCAGCCCTGCCCCGTCCCAGGCTAAACCAGAGCTGGGAGGGAACTGCAGGCTGGAAGCAGGAGGGCCCTGGACCCCAGGCTCAGGCTCAGGGCAGCTGCACCAGGTCACTGAGGCCATGACAGGGCATCCCTGGGGATGGGGATCCCCCACCACTCAGGGCCCCACCCCAGGGCTGCTCCCCTGGGGCTGGCTGGGGTTTGCTGTGCCCCAGCTGCCCCTCTGGTCTCTTTCTGACCACACCATAAACCAGAACTGACTAAAACCCTTCATCCCAAACAGTCAGCTTCACACCCCAACATTTGAAAGCGCATTAATTCAACTACTGATGTGCCTTTGCTAACTAATTTCCTTCACTACTGCTTAGGTTCTTAAAAAAAAAATATATGTATGGTTCACTGGGTTCTAAGCAGTTGCACATTTACCAAATCCAGGAAGTTTTTATAGCTTGGGAAGACAGGCAAGAAAGTGACGTCAGATTTGAAATCCAGCAACAAAAAAAGCAAAAACAAAGCTAAGAGTTGTAAGATTGAGGTTTTCCCCCTGCTCCATCCATTATGCATTGCAGCAAGGCCAACAAGTTGATCTAAGGACATGGAGAGAACCTTCATTTTGAATTTCCATACTTTTATTGGTTTAAATGAAAACCAGACTGTTGTTTTAACGCTGGGTATGAAACCACAAAATAACTATTAATTTTTCCCCTTCCAACAAAAATGGTTAAGATGATTTTAATAACATTTTGGAAGAAAAAAACCCAAACAACCCTAGCTTTCAGAACACAGAATTGCCCAGCATACAGCCATAGCGATATTTTTATAGCAATGCATGAAGACATGAAAACCTTGTATTTTCCACTGCAAGATTCAGCTACAGCTGCACTGCGAGTGCCACTGAAGTGAGAGTCCTCTGGAGATTTCATCACATCAAAGCAAGGGGCATGTACACTTTATTTGCTGTTTCTGCAGACACTGACAGCAGACTGGATTGCTTATCTGTAACACTCAATAAATACAGCCAGGGCCTTTTATCTGCCGTTCCAGGGCTTTAATGTCACCTCTCTGCCTCACTCGTGTTGTGGGAAGGAGAGGACCCAGAGATCCCATTAGGGCCAGCAGGACAGAGGAGAGCCAAGGCTGGAGCTGGCAGGCTGGGAGCACGGGCACCACGCCATCCAGGCATCCAGGAGGGAGCCCAGCCTCACAGCAGCGAGCCAGGGAGGCAGAAATAAACCCAGCTGCTCCGACGGCCAGGAACCGACTGGGGTGATCAAGGTTTAACCCTGGACTTTTACTCTTTTGCCAGAAGAGTGCACGAGGAGATTGCAATATCAGGGAATCACAGACTGGTTTGGGTCGGAAGGGACCTTAAAAATCATCTCTGCCCACCCCCTGCCATGGGCAGGGACACCTTCCACCACCCCAGGCTGCTCCAAGCCCCAAACTCCAACCTGTCCTTGGACACTTCCAGGGATCCAGGGGCAGCCACAGCTGCTCTGGGCACCCTGTGCCAGGGCCTGCCCACCCTCCCAGGGAACAATTCCTTCCCAATATCCCATCTATCCCTGCCCTCTGGCAGTTTGAAGACACCCTGCTCTGCGGAGAGGCACTGCAGGAGTGCACACCTGGATCCCTCACCACCTGCTTGTGGCAGCTGCCAGAGGCTCCAACAAGGGCTGGGCTCCCACCTGCACTTTTGGGCGAGCAGGGATGGGCAAGAGCCACAGTGGGTCAGTGCAGGACTCAGGCTGCTGGGTCAGGGAGAAACCACATCAGGACTGCAGGGAAAAACAGGTGCTATGATGTGAGATGTATTTAAAACAAGGCTTGTTTTGGAAAGTTTCACTATTGC